GGGCACACGTGTTTTCTGGCTTCACATTCTGGGAGCAGCCGGGTGAGAGAAATGTGGGAACCCCAGGGCTCAAGAGAAGCAACCGGAGACTCTCTTACGGAGGGGTCTTTGCTCCCTGGCAGGGCAGGGGCAGAGCTGGGCAAGAGGCCATTTTACCGCCACGAGATTGGTTCCAGATGGAAGCAAGGAAAGGTGTGGACTCCCTGCTGGAGCCAGACACAGCCAGAACCTGCAGTGCCTACCGTCCCGGGTTCCCAATTCCCCTGTACAGGTCCAGCCAGAGCCAGGGTGAGGGGTGGACCGGGCTGTCTGTGGCTTGGGAAAGCCTGTCTTGAATGTAATGACTTTCAGATGGACCATGGGCTTGGGTGAAGGCACTGTGGTGAGGGTCTGGGAGGAGAGGGAAAAGCAGGGAGAAAAGAGGGATTTCCCTGAGGCAACCGAAAAAAGTCATATGTCCTGTGGGCGCCTTCTCCGGGCATCCTTTCCAGGGGCCGGCTCGGGAGGAGTGGGACCGAACCTGGCCTCCGCCGCTGGGTTCCTGGAGCCCGGATCCCCCCAGCCCCGTGATTCATGTCTTCTCTCTTCCCAAGGGCACGTCTCCCCCTGAGTTGATGGGAGGCCAGCTCGATGGGGGAGAAGCTGGGCAGCTGCGTACTCAGACGGGATGCTGACTGAGAGCTTTGTGGCTGTGGCAGACAGGAGGGGCTCACTTCGCCCATTCAGAGGCACCAGCACCCGCTGGCTGGGGTGTGACTATGCCGCTTCAGTAAGACTGGCTGGGATTGCAGGCTGGGGGACCAGTGTTCTCTGGCTTACAGCGCCCCCTAGCACTGGCCAGAGGGATAGGTCTGTGTGCTCCACCTGCCCACCTGAATACTGGGAAGAAAGGGCTGGTGGGGCCCATCCAGGGGGATATCCAGGAAGGACACTCACTCCACCAGTTCTTAAGGCCCTTGTTACCAACACTCATTTCCCGTCTTCAGAGGACTTACAGTCCCGGAAGAGAAGCAGCAAGAAGCACAGGGCGCTGTGGGGATATGCAGGAGGGAGACGGTGAAGACTGGGGAGGGAAATCAGGAAAGGCTTCCCGGAGGTGGTGACACTGACACTGTCATCTGAACACAGCATAGGAGTTCAATCACTGTTGGGAAGACCGAGTGGGGACAATAAAAGGCATACTTTCTCATCGCTGAGTGCTTGTGTCCAAGAGGCAGGCAGACAGGAAAACAAGTCGTGATAAGGGGCTCTCTCAGGAGCAAGACCTCGGTCTCTCCCATGCGTTTGCACCACGGTCTCCGTGTTCAGTCTCAGGCTCGGAGGAGAGATCAGAGCGAGAACTCAATCGTGGTTGACTGAGTGATTGACAGCTGTGCTTCAGTCCTGGGCACCTCACCCCTGTTCAAGTGGCATGATCCGTCTGCCCTTCAGTAATTCTCACCTTGTCCTTGAGAACTTCCCATGAAATCTTAGTCCTTTCTAGCGGGGGGAGGAGGGGAGTGTGTGGGGCTTGGAGACCACTGAGTTACATCTTTCATCCAATAAAATGGAAATTGAGGCCCAGAGAGGGGAGGTGACTTGTACACACACACACACACACACACACACACACACACAGCTGTTCTTCTGCACCAACTTTTGGAACAGACCTCAGATCTTTTTTTTTTTTTTTTTTTTTTTTTTAATACAAGCACCTTTCATCCCCCTAGGAAGGTTTTATGCCTTTGCAGGAGTATGCTTGGAATGTTTTCAAAAGGCTTTAGATAATTATTTGGAAAGGAAAAACACGAAGCGCATAAGAGATAAAGCGCTGAGGAGTCCAGGGCCGTGTTTGCTCCAATGAGTTCACGGGGCCCCGCGGAGCAGCGGGGAGGATTATCATCACAGACCACTATTTGGACAGTCGGGGCAGGGGAAATGCTTCACATTGGCCCCTGTGCAAACACTCTGGGAGGAACTCATCTGCAGATCTGAAAGGCAGGGCCCATGGCGAGTGGCTGGCTTTCCATGGCCAAGGTGCACGCCTCAGGCCGTGGGCTGCGGCCGGTCCCATGTGCGTGGGTGTGGGCCAGCGCTGGGGAGGCTGAGGCAGCTGCCGCCCTGTCCGGCGGCATTGCGGAAATCCCTTCACCTGTCTGGACCTTCTTTTTCCCGCTGATAAGAAGAGGATAGGACTCCTGAAAAATCACGTTCCCAGAGATTCCAGTGTTCTGTAACTTTGATAGGCAGGGGGTGGGTGGTCATGGGATCTCCTTTCCTAGGGAAGTTCCAGGAAGGGAAATACCCAGTCAGCCAGATACATGTGGAGACTTCTTCAGGTCCCCCCGAGGTGGATCCATGTATCATTGCTCTTCGCTGTCAAGAGCAAGTGGGAGAGCCAGGGTCTTCACCCTTCCCATGGGCCCATCTACCTTAGCAAGCGGACTTGGGGAAGCGATGCTTGCCAATCAGGTCCCTGGTACTGTGGCCTCTGGCTGGCTGGCTGGCTGTGCGGTCTGCTTGCGGGAGAGGAGGCTCCCCCACACAAAGACCCCTGGAGCTTGCTCTCCTTTTCCTTAAGACGAGGCCTGAGCCGACCTTACACGGGCAGGTGGGCGGAGGGGAGTCCCCTCGGGTTAGACATGAGGGAGAACTTTCCAACCAAAAGGGAGGACGAACTCCAAAGACGCCGCATGGACTAGTTTAAGATAGGGAGCAAGAGGAACTAACCCAAACCCCATCTCATCACCGTTCCGCTGGAAACATCTGATGACCCGAGCGCTTCCAAAACTGAGGAGCTGCCGTGGCCAAATGCCTCGGATGCTTTTAAGGAGGAGCCTGCCTCTCAGAGTTCGGCGAAAGTTATCTGCCTCACACTCCTGTTCTAGGCAAGGCTCCCCTCGGAGAAAACACTGGCATTTAGGACAAAGCCGTTAACATGAAAAGAAGAAAGAGAAGCGTCTTATCATATAAGATGCTTATCCAAAGTGGATTTGGTCTGGAAAGGCTTCTAAAACCTTCCGCGTGACTGGCGCAGAGCAGGAATCAGAGCAACTCAATCCCACCGAGCATGCCCTCGTTCAACCTCCAGACTCAGTGGGCTGCTGGCCACCCCCGCCCCCAAGGCTTCTGGGGCCCTACTCTGTGCTCCGAGGCCTGGAAAGCAGGATGGCTAAACAGCTCAGGCTTTGTAGTATTGCTAGGGTGGTGGGGAAACAGTACAACCGGACCCCATGAAACAGGGAGCCGGGTGCTGGAGCTGACACCCAGAGAGGGAGGGCTGGGGATGGGTCAGATCCAGAGCTGAGGTGGGAAGGGTCTTACACATCGGGAGGGGGAGACGACAGGAAAACGTGGACACTAGATGCCTTTCCTTGGAGCTAAGAATTTTAAGGGGTACAAAGGAACTTTAAAAATGTACTTGAGACCATTTCCAACAAAATGTCCTGCATCCCCCTCCTCCCCCTCACTTCTCTGAACGGTAAATGGGGGAGTTTCTGGGAAAGAGGTTGAGTTGCATTTCCGAGCAGTATTTTCAGTCCTTGCTTTGTTCTAGACTTTTCGTTATTTCTATAGCCAAGACATTGGAGTCTTGTTCTACACGGGATGAGCGGGCAGAGAAAGGGAGAGGGAAGAGATAGCAGGTGCCGGCTGCAGAAGGGCCCAGCCCACTGGGAACTGAGGGCTGCTCTGGGCACAGAGAGAGAGAAACCTCTCTCCCAAGGCGGACCCGTGGGGATGCAGCTCCTGGCTGGTTGCCAAGTCGTGGCACCTTTCCGTGCCAGTCTCCTCATCTGGAAAGTGTCCTTCCAACTTTATTTCCTTCCCCAGGACTGTGAGGTGGAAGGAGGTGAGGTAGGGAAAGCGTAAGGCCGCATGGAGATGCTCCTTAATGACAAGGGGACTGCCAGCAATTACCCATGATCACTTGCAGTCTAGGCTCCTAAGAGTCCTCCAGGCCTTGGTTTCACCCGTTTTCACCTCCCCGCCCCCAATTTCCTGCCAGAGGGTGGAGACCTGTCTGCCCCCAGTGGGGCGACCTTTCCTCCCGCCCTTTCTAGGGGCCTTGGCACTTGCCAGTCCTCCCTCCCTGGTGCTCCCTCCTCCCAGATGCTCCCAGGGAAAAGCCTTCTTCGTGTTCACATCTCAGCTGGGGTGTCACCTCCTCAGAGACGTCCTACCCCCCCAGAAAGCAGTGCCCTATGCAGCCATTTCTAGCCCAAGGACTCTGTGGTGTGGCCTTCACAGAGCTGCCCCCACAGATGGCACCCTAGGCGTGTGTCCATGGGTTTCCTGACATGTTCCCTGCACGGTCCCCGGGAGGGAGGTGAGAACTTTGCTTTGCTGAACCCAACCTCCAGCACAGTGTTTGTCGAATGACTTCGCAATGTACACTCCGGGTGAGTGGGGAGAAGGCCTGCTATTATAACCGCCATCTCCAAAAGACAGGAAAGCTGGGGGCAGCGGGTTGGGGGAGTGGGGGGTGGCTGGGGAGAGAGTAGGCCACCTGTCAGGTTTTCCCCTCTGACTCTGCTTTTCCCAGAGAAGGTGGGAAGGTAAACTTTTCCCCAGCCTTTCCTCCAGGTGCAGTCAGGGTCCCCAGGGCCAGGCCACCCCTGACCTGCGGAGGGAACGTGGGTACTGGGGGATTGGGGGGAGGGGGGGAGCAGTTGATTCTGGTTGAGCCGGGAGGTGCCTGGAGGGGGAGTGTGCGCGTGGCAGAGATGCGGGCGGGAGGGGGCACGCGGGCTGCTGCTCCCAGGGCTACCACCTATCCCGCCAGCCAGCGCGGGTCCGGGTCCGAGGCGCTTCCCAGGCCCTCCACTCCCGCGCCCAAAGCCGCATTATTCCCTATAAGGACCTGAACGGGCCCGGGGGAGGCCCCGCCCCGCCGCCCCGCGCCCTCGGCCCCGCCCCCTTTTCGGAGGGCCGATGAGGTAATGCGGCTCCGCGATTGGCCGGAGGGGCGGGACCCCAGGAGGGGGCGCCGGGGGCATCGGCGTATATTACCCGGCCGCCGAGCAGCAGCGGCACAGAGCGGGCAGCGAGCGGCTCTCCGACCACTTTCTCCTCCTCCTCCTCCTGCTGCTGTTGCTGCTCCAGATCCTGCTCCGGCTCCTGCGCCCCGACCCGCAGCGACCGACCGCCGGCCCCGCAGAGTCTGCGCCCACGCCCAGGCCGCCCCGCCGCCCCCGGTCCGTCCCCGCGGGCACTCAGAGGGCAGCGCGCCTAGGACCAAGTTGCCCGGTCCGTCCGGTGGGTGCCACCGGCTCCGGCTGCAGCAGCCCCACCGCCCCGCCGGCGCTCACGGCAACTTCGGAGAGGCGAGCAGTGGCCCCCGCAGCAGCGATGACCCCCTGGCTCGGGCTGGTCGTGCTCCTGGGCACCTGGAGCCTGGGCTACTGGGGCGCCGAGGCGTGCACATGCTCGCCCACCCACCCCCAGGAGGCCTTCTGCAACTCGGACATAGGTAAGCTGCCCCCGTCTCCGCGGGAGCCCCCCAGGGCCCCTCCTGTCTGCGCTGCAGCCCAGAGCGGGATGCTGCCCGCTGCTGCTCTGCTCGGGGTGCCATGGCGAACTCCCCTCTTTTTGCCCCTGCCCGGGCTTGGGGCGAGGGCACTGAGAAACCCCACAGGGGCTGAAGGAATCCGCTGCAGCCTTTGCTCTCCTTGTAGAAGCTGAGGTCCCTGTGGGTCCTGTTGACATCTGTTAACCCCCCCCCCCCTACTTCCAGAGGGCGGGAGGAAGCGCTGGGGGTGAGGGAAAGGGACCCTAAAACTTGGGATTCCAGATAAATTGCTGGGATGTTGAATCACTAAAAGAAAAAAAAAAAAGTTGCCAGCCATGTGCCCAGAAAGTGGCAGGAGAAACTTGAAGTTTCGGAGTTTGCATCCCCTAAGAAGTTCATGCTTTTCCATGAGACCCACACCGACCTTGAGTTTCTGGGCAAGTGCTAATGGAGCTCCTGGGACTGCCAGCGGCGGGGTGGGAGGACTGGGGGGCGGGGGGTGGAGGAGAAGAGAGCGGAGGGGCTGGCTGTCCCCCAGGAGCTGTGCCGGAGAGTGTTGATGGCCGGCGGGAGGCGGCGTGTGTGAGGGATCACAGAGCTGTGAGAAGTCACAGGAAGGCTGTTTTTTCCCCTCCCTCGAATGTGTGTGAGGAGGGGGAGATGGAGCCATGGAAAACAGACGTGTCCCCCAAAGAACAAAGATGCCACAGGTCACACATGACAAGCCGGGCTTGTGTCTTTGGTTAGAGCTGCTCAGTATGAAGTAGCAGGAAAGGCCCTGGGAGAGCTGGTCTCTGGCGTGCAGGACACGGGCTTGGATGGCGAGAGGTGGAGGAGCAGCTGGAAAATATCTCTCCTCTCCTTTCTCGCTCATAAAGCATGTCCAGAGGCCCCTGCTGTGTGCACGCGCACGCGTGCGCGCGTGTTTGTATGTGTATGTATGCGAGCGTGTGTGAGTGCGTGTGTGTGTGTGTGTATATGTGTGTGTGAGAGTGTGTGTGTGTGTGTATGTGAGTGAGTGTGTGTGCGTGTGTGTGTGAGAGTGTGTGTGTGTGTGTGAGAGAGAGTGTGTGTGTGGGTGTGTGTGTGTGAGAGTGTGTGTGTGCACACGCCGGCCGAGCTGCTGGGGTGGGACACAGTCTCGCCGCTCGGCTGAGTGGATTCCGAGGTGAAGAATGGAGTATGTGTGTTTTAAGTACAGTCATAAAGGGGAAGGAAATTTTCCACTGGGTCCTGGGTGAGGGCCTCCACAAGTGTGCTGCAGGGGAGGCGGGGAGGAGGCAGGAGCCGGGCAGGGGAGGCAGTTGAGGGTGGGAGGGGCGCTGCTGGCCCGTCTAGGGGAACCAGGGAGGTGGCTGTGGGGACCAGGTCGGTCCAGTTAGCAGGCCTGCTGGGGAGGGGGAAGAGGGGAAAGGAGTGTGTGTAGTTTGGGGTCATGCTTATGAGAGGTTTCCTGGGGCCAAGTGGCACGCCCTCCCCTCTCCAGGGGGCCCGGCTGGCCTCTGGGTTTGTGGGTGTGCCTGGGAGGGTTCTGCTGAGCTGCCTGAGGCCTGAGAGGGTTCCTCCCTTCTCCTGGGACTGACCCCACCCAAATTCCACCTGGCCCGGCTCCTCCCCACCTGAGAGGTGCTGGGAGCTGCAGCCGCTGGTTTCTGGTCTTGCTCAGAGGAGTGCACACAGGGGTCTGGCATCTGACAGGTGGAGTGTGCCCTTGGCTCTGGCGTGTGCCCTTGGACTTGAAGGTGTATGGGGAAGGGGGGAACCTCATGCCCCCTCCCCGTTCTTACCCTGGGCTTTTGGGTTCCCACCCTGCAAGCGGACCAGGGAGCAGTGGACACAGAGGCACAGAAACCCCGCTTGCAATTGGGGGCACTGCCTCGCTGTTCGCCACGGAGGCTGGGCTGATGCTGAAAGTTTCTTGCAATTTCTCTGGGTTCACCCGGGAAAGATTCCCTCTCCCCGCAACCAACTCCGGAGGAAAGCTAAGTTCCCGGGAGGTGCCCAAAGACCAGAACACGGTGACAGCAAAACGAAAAAAGAAACAATAAAAAAAAATCTTTGATACGCTGGCCGCGGGCCACCGCTGTGCCGCCTGGGTTTGGAGCACTGCGCTGGTGGCAGCGATGAGATAATGCTTTTAAAAATGGGAGGTGTGCATGTGGGCTGCTCCCTGACCTCCCCTGCCTGGCAGCGCGGGCGGCCAGTAGGGGGCTCCCTGTTTTCCTAGTCACAGCTTCCCTCCTTCCCAACCCCGGCTGAAGACTGTTCTCTCCCAGAAGGAAATACACAGCAGTGCCCCGTTCCCCTTGACCCCTGTGGACCCACCGATCGATGCTGTAACTCATTAAAGTGTTCAAGCCAGCCCACCAGCTTCCTCTTCCAGAACCTTCCTGGCTTTTTTTCTTCTTCTTTGTGGCCTGGTGCCCTGTGGCTGGGTGAGGGGCATGGCATAGGCCTGGCTCCACCCTCTCTAAGGAACCCCCTCCACCTCCACCACCCCAGCCTTCCCTCCCCTCTCTCCGCATCCACAGGTGCCTCTTCTGGCCTTTCTCCCCGAAAGCCCTGGGGATTGGCACCGTCTTCTGGGTGAGGAAGAGTTCAAAGGTGTTTCTATGGCAACTCCAGGCCCTGCACCCCAGTGAAGTGGTGAGGAGCAGAGTAAACTACACGCTGGCTTCTAAGCCGCTCTGTGGGGGGAAGGAAGGACTTGGCAGCAGCCAAGGCCGTGGTCCCCTCCCCACCAGTCATGCCCTTGAAGCTCTTCACAAAACCTTGACTCTGGAGGAGGGAAGGGAGGGGTCTGGGAACATAGAAAGCAGTCTTGGCCAGGTGGATCCTGCTCCAGCGGCTCTACCCAGCACAGGCAGGGGTGAGCAGTGCGTGTGCCTGCCTGCCTGCCTGCCTGGGTGCCTGCATGTGAGTGTGCATGTGTGTGTGTGTGTGTGTAGGGGGGTGTTTCTGGGGTAGGGGGGAGCAGTAGAGAGGATTTTGTTCACAGCTCCAAGTCCTTCTCTCTGCTCTCTCTCCTGCCCCCCCCCACACACACACATAGAGGAAAGGGGCCATGAGATGGAGTGTTGGGGGCCTGCTCCCTGAGCCTAGTGGGAATCGGAGAGGAAGGCTCAGCTTGGGGGCCCTGCTAGGCCTGGAGGATGGTCCCCGGATATATCACAGAATTGTTTTGACAGGGACCCGTGCCAGCAGATTCTTTCTGTATCAGATCTGAAGCTGTGGTTTTTAGCAAAGTAGCCATTTTCAAAGAAGCCGGATCCATTCCCTCTCACAAGTCCACACAATGACACTCCCCCCTGGGCCTTGGGACTTGAAGCAAAAAAAAAAAAAGGGGGGGGGGAGGAGGAGGGATCAAACTTCAGAAAGGAGCCAGCAGCCACGTGGGGTGGGGACCCAGGCTGCCCCACATCTCGGAACCCTAAGGAAGAGGAGAGCTGCTCTCCGATTCCTGCTGGGCACAGGCACCTCAGACAGGTGGAAGGGTGGGCGTTCTGTCCATTGAATCAGATGGAAATGTGGAGGCCGAGAGAGGCTGTGCTTGCTCAGGGTCACCCGGCTCATCCATGCTGCAGCTCACTGTAGCCGGCAGAGGCTAAATGCATTGCACTATGCTATTCTTCAATAACGTCTCAACTTCCACTTACCCTTGACATTCTGAGTCAGACCAGCCACCCTAGGACCAACATGGGATGGGTGGTGAGCCAGAGTGCTTTCCTTGTGGACTGGAGACGTTTCGAAATGAGAAGATAACCAAATGAGATTTTCTTTACACGTCATCTTACAGGAGGGAGAACTTACCATGATTATTTGAGGCCTTAAGTAGAGAAAAAGAAAGAGACATTTCTGACGTCCTTTGGCTATTAGAACTCAAAATCACCAAGTCAACGTAAATAAGAAAAAGACCATCTCCCTGAGGCACAGTGGGAAGTAGAGCTACTCCATTTGAGAATCTCAGGCTGCAATACTCTTTCCTTCCAGTGGGGTGAGCTGGGGCGCCCTGTCCAGTCGGTGCAGATGGCCAGGGGGGTGGGTGGGTGGGAAACTAGAGAGCGTCAGGAGGCTGGGTCCTGCTGGCTGGAGAATCCCCGCCCTCCGTGGTGTCCCTTTCACAGTCCCTGGAGAGATAAGGCTAGAACAGAGGCGCGGAGGTGGCCTGGGCGGAGGCCTTTGTTTTGTAGGAGCCGCAGGAACCATTGGGCCCCACAGCTGAACAGCACATTCCCACAGGTTCCCCAACAACAAACAAAAACAACGCCACCATTCTCCCTGCTTTTCCCACTGCAGAAAGGACAAGGAGGCCCCTTCTTCCAGCCTTTGTCACAGCGGCTCCTGGGTGGCCTGCGGAGGCAGTGTGGGGTGGTGGGGAGGCCAGGGGGCGGCCAGAGCTGGGCGGAGATCATCCAGGGTGTGCTGGCTGTGTGCGCCTAGGCAGGTTAGTGGATGTCTGTAAACTCCAGTTTCCTCCTTTATAGAAGGGGATAGTGGTTTGTATCACCTCAGCCCTTTAATTTTTACCCTCATTTTATAGTTACAAGTATTTTGTGAATATATTCTGCATCCATGTTAAATGTATGTATGTATGTATATCTTTACCTGTTTATCTATCTAAAAGCAGTTAACGGTAAAGTTCTTTTTGATAACCTCCTCTAATTCTAGATCCTTTTCCAGACCCTTTCTTCTCTGTGCATTTACACTCATAGGCACAGATGGAAAACTCAGAGTAGCTTTTCCCCTTAGAAACATGAAGAGTAGAACAACACATAGCATCTGCTTTTTTTTTCTTTCTTTTTTTTTCTTTTCTTTTTTTCCCCATTGGGCAATGTGTATTAGAGATTGGTCTCAGTTAACACATTTGGATCTACCTCACTCGTTTTAGATATAATGTTCCATGGGGTTATAACTTTTAAAAATTGAATATGCAGCAATTACTCTGTGCTAGGCACCATTCT